ATTTCCTCTGAAAGACGCGCGAGCGGGGAATATAATAAAAGAGATTTTTCAATCGATATGAAGTTGGGATGGTGGGAGTGGTGAGAAGGGTCTACAGCAGGTAGAGGCAGCGGGTGCTCGGGGTGTTGTGGTTGGCATTGGTGGTAAAGGTGGTGGTGTTGATAGTGGTAGGGTGGAAGCGCAAAGGCGCACAGAGAGAAGAAAGCTTAGGGCAAGTTAAAAAAAAAAACCGTTTAGCAAAAACCATAACCGTAAAAGAGAGCAAGCCGTTAACAAACTGAACCAAAACACAGAAACACGAATATCAAATCATGACTCAGGAGTGGCAGTGGTGGTCCCGCTGCTTTGACTTGAAAAGAAACAAAAATTCCATCGATCCAGCCATCCAGTAGTTTGTTTCACCCCCTCCATCTAACGGTCATCTTTCCCCACTTTTCTCTTTTTTTGGGGCATCTGGGAGCACAATCGCTCCACTATATCCACACATCCCCCCCACCCACAAACCCTTCATCAAAAATAGCCCGATAAACTTCCTCAACCTCCACCGCATACTCCTCCACCGCAAACCTACGGAGCCCCTTCGAAGCCAGCACCCTCTCATCCTCCAGGAACATCGCATCATTCGCCGTCGCCGTCGCCACCGTCGTAGGCGCACGATCCCCAAACCCAAACTCCTCCGCGACTTCGTTGACCTGTTCGAGTTCCTTGCCGAAGGGGTGCTGTTGGGTTGATAGGGAGGTGGGGGGTGGGGGGAGGGTGGTTGATTCGGGGAGCGCGCGGAGGCGTTCTGTGCTTAGGCGGGCGCTGGAGCTGTGGCTGTTGCTACGACTGTGGCTGCGGCTGAGGGAGTGGGAGTGGGAGTGTGTGAGCGAAGTTGGCGGTGGTCCTGTGGTGCTGCTGCTGGTGCTGCTGCTGCTTCGTGATATTGAGCGCTGGCGCGCGAGTTCCTGATGCAATTTCTTGGTATGCGATAGGGATCTACGTGGTAGCTTGGGCGTTGCGTAGGAGATTGACGAGGACATGGAAGAGCGGTGGCGGTGGGCCACGTCGGTAGAGCTGGAGCGGGCAGGCTTACTGAAGTAGCCGGATAGATGGTTTGGTTCTGGCACGACGGGGGAGTGTTCTTCTGCCGAAGACATTTCAGGGGGTATAAGGGGGCTATTACTGGAGGTATGGACGAAGGATGAGGAAGATGCGGATGCCGCTGAGGAGTTCGTAGTGACATCTGAATCTTCAGCGGAGCGGAAGGAGGACGAGGAGGAATTGGCAGACGATGCGGATGTTTTCTTCAATGTTGACGTTGTCTGCGATTGTTGCTGGTGTTGCTGGTGTTGATCACGGTATTGGAGCTTGTGACGTGGTTTCTCGAGATCAGGTGCGGTGTATGCAAGCAAGTTTGTAGTTGAGAGCAATTGCACGGGCAGAGAGATCTCGTTGCGTTTGATGGTACCTGCTGGTAATTTAAGCTGGCCTTCGCGGTAGGGCATGGGTGCTGAAACCACGAGGGGTTTCTGGGTGCGCTTTGTAAAGGCTCGAGACAGCGAGCTGGACATCGTGGCTGTTGCCATGGGGGTATATGGTAAAATTCTAATTTTCTTTCGTTGAAGTGTTTGAAGGCTGCCGCACGCAAAAAATGTGTGTGTGTGTGTGTGTGTGTGTGTGTATGTTCAAGAGACTTCCTTTCAGACAATAAAAAGAAGGTTGGGGCCTTCTCTTAAGATCGGCGATTGATCCCCACCTGCAACCGTTGGAAAGGAGATGTAGAACCGAAAACGGGGTGAGGCCAATGCCTCACCTCAGACAGCGCGCCGCAAGCAAGCGGCGTGTTTCGTGTTTCGGGTTCGAAAAAATCAGATACAATAAGTAACTCGACCCGTGGGTTGGGTTGTTTATGTAAGGTTGGGTGGCTATGATGAAGGTAAAGCG